AAAGCTTTCCTCCTGGGTCTTTTGCCACGATCAAAGCAGTGAAACAATGACTGTCCGCAAAATTCCGAAACCAATTTTCAACTTCACATGGCACATCTTCAGGCATATCTGAGAGCCCACATTCAATTGCCTGCACTGGGATGGACATAATTTCTCCTGCTTCAATTGGAACCGGCAGCAAGTCTGATTTATCTACTTCCAATGCGTCACCGTAATCCACAAAATTGACCACAACTGATGGTTTTGTAGACTTTATTTGGCCTCTGTACCAAAGTCCATCTGTGTATTTTGCAAAGCAAACTGTTCCAAAAGTCTGAGGACACTTTGTTTCCTCTAGCTGACGGCATAGGAAGTTGACCTTGTTTGAAAGTTTCGCAATCTCCTCCGAATTCCTGGCAAGATGGCAAAAGAAATTAGTGACACTTTTCACACAGGTGATACTCACTTCCTCTTCACATCCAGTCTTGACTCCATGTGTGGAATAATAGTAGGTGTCCAGCCGAAAGGGTGGAAGAGGAGCTTTCTTAGAGGGTGCACGGTCAGCTAGACATCTTTGGACAAGGAGATTGCAAATGCTTTGGAATGGGGTCTCCAAGTCTACCACATTGAACACAACTTTCTGGGAGTCATACATTACAGCAAATATGGTGCATTTTAAGGGCACATTCATCGACGCTGCTGTGTCAACAAACTCTTGAAACTGCAATGTGGCTTCAGGGCTCCAGTCTAAAGCTGAGTGGGAAACTGGTTGGATCAGGTTATACAAACTGCATCGAAAGGCTTGTCCTTTCATTTTCAAGAATGCTGGAGTGATCTTTCGAAGATCTTCAACAGCAACCTTCTTTGTCTGTCCATAGTCAACGAACAAGACATCAACATGAGGCGTTTGGTGCTTTTGAATGACCAAGGCTCTGTACCATATCCCAGTTTCAGGATGACGGGCAACACAAGCTGCTTCACATGCTTGAAATTCACTATGAGCATAGAAACGCTGAATGTCTTGCATTAGAACTTCTAAACATGCTGCATTTCTGGCTTTTTGACACCAAAAGTCATTTGGACTCTCAATGTAGGATACAGTTACCTCCAGTGAACTTCCAATGGGAAACAAGTATTCCTTGAAAGCAGATGCACTGTCTGTTATGGCAGAAGAACTGGAAGGCATTTGATGCCGAGCTCCTGTCAAGAATACACCAGATGTGTGTGTGGTTTCCACAATGCTTTTTTCACTGTCTACGAAATCTGCATTGCACAGCAACTGGATCACATTATTTTCTCCATCTAAACTCGGATCCACTAACTGGACCATGTGAGTGTCTTGATGCTTGTCTTGTATGTGCAAATCAAGTACTCGGTCTTCAACGAGTTTCGAAAAGAACAATGTAGCCCTCTCGTCCCAATGTTTCAGTCTGGATTTAATGCCATAGAGGGAGCACTTTACTGCCACAGCAGGCAACTGCTGAAATCTCAGAGGCAACTGTCTGAGGTTGAAACAATCAACAAGTTCTGTGTTGCCATAGTCAAGGAAGTAAACTTCTGCTTTCTTGTCAATAACCTTATAGATAGATGCTCTATAGAACACACCATCCTGGGCTTTAGCTGCACAGAGGAGACCAACAACAGGCTTTCTTATCAATCCTTCAGTGCTTGTTGGATCACTGTACAGATTTCCAAGGCCATTCATTAGCTGATTGAATTCATCGGCGTATCGCTGAGTTTGAATCCAAAACTTTCCAGGGCTCTCAACATGCTGTACAACTGCCACATGTGAAGTGTTATGTGTGAGACTTTCTGTGAAAAAGACTGGCTTGTTCCCTTTAAGGTCAGAGTAGGTTTCATCAATGTGTGTGGCCTTGGTTGTCTCCAAAATCTTGCTCTTTTGAGATAATGGGCTCTTTTGAACAGCAAAGTCCGTAAGGGTCATATCAGAGTCCAGTGAACATTTCTGCTTCAGTTCAAACAATTTGTTGATGTTTGTGTTCTCCTCTCCGTAAAACGTGACATAGTGGACACCTTCAGAAAGGCTTTGATACTGAAACTTGGCGATAACGGTGCGGTTGAGCAGGAGAGATTTCAGGTAATCGATTTGTGAAGCGGTCCAGCCAATACCTCTGTCGGCTATTCCATGAAGGGAGCACACATACGTTACGACAGGCATCCTGAAGAATTCAGGGGCAAGTGGTCTGACATTCTCAACTTTTACAAATCGTTTCTTCCCATAATCCACCTGCAAAATTTCAACCACATTGTTGGCAGACATGACCTGCTGCAGCACAGACCGATACCACTTGCCGTCACTTCCTCTTGATGCACACGGGCTGCCTAGATTCTCAAGTCTTGCAAAGTTACATCGAACTCTTCCCTCGTAATGCCGAGTTATCTGTTCAGTTAATTTTTTCAGCTCCTGAGAGAAAACCTTAAGCTGACAGAATATTCGAAATGGACTCGTTACTTCAGTGACCACAACAGTCTCAACAGTATCGGGCTGCAGCTCTGGATACATGTAGGCCTGCTGCTTCTCTATTTGCTCAATGATCTCAATTGGTTTGGTCCTAATGGAAGAAATTCTCTGAGGTTCTCCAGTTCCACTTTTGGCCTGCAAAGATCTGGCAACAAACTCCTTGAACTGATCACTGTACAACTTCTTTGCGAAGCCCATTTCAAACATCTGTCTGGACAGACAAGGAATGTCAAGTAGGAATGTTCGATGAGGCACAAGAACATCTTGAACAGTGGCATTGACTCTTCGACCACAGAAGGACTTCATGAACTCTAAGGCCATTGCTGACCATTTGTTTTCAGGAGACAGTGGTAGGACATTGGCAAGGACACAGAATTCAACTTCAGGGGGAAGATAGAAAAAGTCACTTTTGCCCCATGCTAAAGTGTTTACAGTGGCACGCAGCGTTCTGCCTTCATCAATTAAAAACACGCTGTACTCGTCAGTATCTCTGGACACTATACGGGCTCTGTACCATGTTTCATACACTCGTACGAGGCACAAGTCACCAGGGTTTCCATCCGATTCACAAAAACCCTCTCTGGGGTACTGAATCTCTTTTTTCAGCTGCTGATATGCACATTTTTGGTCTTGATCAAAATTCCCCCAAAACTCTACCAGAACGCATGCCGGGTTTAAGTTTACTCTGGTAATGAGTACGGGTACATTTGAACCCGTTGATGGGAGTCCTGGAATAGAACACATGGTGGCTCCTTCCGTGAATCAATCACTGCTTCACTCCAGTGTCTAGGTGTATCTAGAAAAAGAGAGGGGAGGGGGGCAATAAACACCGGTCCATAAAAAACAGACTGTCTTACATAACTCCGTACTTCTCTAAATAGTTGATATAAAATGCACACAAATTTTCACACTAGACAAGAAATATCCAAAAATATAAGACAACTAATGTCAAGATTTCAGCCTACAATTTATATGTATAAAAGTAAGCATGTTTTTCAAGGTTGCATTAAATATAACATTAAGGGACAGGAAACGGGACGATGCGCTATGAAAAAAACACAGTATAAAATTACCCAAGTGTAATTAGACATTAGAAAGTGTGTTGGAAGGAGTCTGCCAACTGATAAACTTGAGTTTAAAGGCAACAGCTGCAGTCTCTGATTGCCAACACATTAAATTCGCATATAGGATCATTAACTGATATACACTTACAAAAAAAAGAGCATTATACAGTTACTCTAATTATGGATTGCCTTACATGTCAAATACACTGGTCCATAAATTTAAAACGGTACAGTAACCTTCAACTTCATATTTAGCGTCAGCTGTGACAGTTTTGACAAACCTTTGAAAATTCCTGAAAATGACATTAGATGAGGTCGCGTCAGTAAAGCGTCAGGTCTGTCAGGATGCAGCACAGCGTGAATAAAACGCAGCAAGTAACGTTAACTGGATTTTGGCTCTTGCGCAAAGAAACTTCTACATTCAATGTTCAGCTTACTCCCTCAAAAAGTCAAGTAAATTCCATTTAATAAACTCAATAATAAACCACTCAGTTTCAAAGTTGTGACTTTCCTTTAGCAGTTTGCGAACACTTAAAACGGGACAAAATCATTTATGTCGATCATTTGAATCAACACACATTTAATAGATAAAGCCTATATGAAACAAACCTTCATGACAAACACTCACCACTTCAGGTTATATTCCGCTTTTATTTCAGTGTGGACCAACGACATCTTGGCTTCTTGTGTGGGATCAAGGAGGATTCATTTAACGGCTAAGAACCGAACAATGGCTTTTCACCCCGTGATACTTATTAGTTTTAACTAACAGCTAAATTTCAGTTACACGAAAATCGGGGGAAACGAACTACTTCTATATCCGATAATTTAACGAAGAAATTAGAAGATACTAACTAGATGCCACGAATGTTGCTTTCGCGCCTCGTTCTCGCGCATTCACCTGATTGGCTCATTTAAGGTCAGACGGAAGTTCATTAAAAGATGGAGGCAACAATATTTAACAAAGTTAAAATCCTAATTCAACAAAAGCTATTTAATTATTAATGTAGTGTATTACTATAAAGATTAAGACTGTAATGAAATTAATTTCAGGTTAATGTTTTTTTTTTAATGCAGTTTCTGAAAATGCAATTACAGAAAAAATAAGTATATAGTATATAAAAAATAAGTATCTTTTTAAAAAGTAATATACAGTATATGAACTTATATGCAATATTTTATTGATTACCAATGAAATGTGAATCCAAAATATTTACCACTCGAATCATTGTTCATTATGAATTTTAATTTGTAAAAAATTATAACTACTGTGTACTAGTTTACATGTATAATACAAATGTGCAAATAAGACACCAGGCAGATATGTTAAAAAAGAAAAACACTGATTTTAATAAAACAAATGCTGATGAACAAATGCCACTTTACACTTTTGAAAAAGACATTAGGTCAATATATAACAAGACTTCAGGCCAAGTAATGAACGCTGTTCAACTTCAACAGGTACAATTTTTGGGGGGTAAAAATCATTACTTAAAGGGGTAAAGTGAGAAGGATATGGGTGCAAGAAAGAATAGAACAACAGAAAAAAAAAATGTTGACTATTTCGGTGGGTCTGTGTTTATCCCGTACTTCTCTTTGAGAAGTTTCAGCTGCTCCTCCTTTTTCTTTGTGTCCATTTTTTGGAAAGCCTGGGGGGGAAAAACAGGTAACATTAGAGTTTTGTATGACACTCGATAAAATTTACTTTGAAAGTAACTGCCAAAATGAATAGTTGGACAATAGTCCAACTACCACATCGTGTGTACATTAATGAGGAAAAAAAATTAACTTAAATGAGTTTAGCAAATGGCTGCAATATAACAGAGTGAAAAATGTAAGGGGGTCTGAATACTTTCCGTACCCACTGTGTGTATATATATATACACATTTATATTTCTCAGTCTTCCTTACTTAAAGTTCTTTCTGGTCTCAATGTCATATATGTATGTTTGTAAGAGCTCCTAAAAAAACCACAACAAATTCCTTGTGTGTTTGCACAGACTTGGAGAATATAGCTCATTCTAATTCTGATTCTAGTCACTGTCTGTTTTCACTGTATGGAAAATAATGGTTTGGGCATTCTGCATAATATCTCCTTTTGTGCTCCCCAGAAGAAATAAAATAAGTGTTCGAAACAGAAATGAAGTAAATGACAAAATCTTAACTTTTGGTAATCGACATCTTTAACATACAACAAAACATCATGAACACATTTCAGTTTCACATACCATAATGTTAATGTTAGAATCAAAGGCAAAAAAACTGTTAAACTCACCCTGTTCGCATTATAGTACAATACAACTAAGTATCTGTTGCAGACGTTGAATCCAGAAAGGTGATCACAGGCATTTTTGGCATCAAAGATGTCTTCGTATACGACATAGGCTGTTCCTCTTGTCTCTGGTGTGTTCCCACTAAAACAATCACAGAACAATCAGTTACTCAGCTTACAAAAATAAACGCCATTAATGACACAATCAGTACTTTCTTTAAATTAAATTAAAGTGTCTCTTATGAATAATAGTATGCAAATGTGAGAAAAATACACTGATACTTACACTCTGATTTGACGAATTGGCCCATACTTTCCAAAGATGTCATACATCTCCTCTGCGGTGATCTTGTATGGAAGGTTACGAATATACAATATCCTGTTCACCTCTGGAGGTAAACGAATCTGAAACATGCCAGCAAAGAGAAACATTAACATACACATTCATGAAATGTTACAGTTTCAGATTATTAAAACACAAACCACACAGTCATTTAAAGAACTTAAACGTTCTCAAGCGCTTCGAATGACATTTAATTATGAAAAAGAATTCATGAATTCCGACATGGACGCAATATGGTAAGCGTTTAGACCTTTTTATTTATATATATATATATATATATATATATATATATACATACATACATGCATGCATACACATGCACATAATATACCTGTACATACAACTGTCTATTGTTATATACCTGTACATACAATTGTCGATTTATATATTTTTATTCCTTAGTTACTTGTTCTATTTTTATATTTTTTATTATCTGTGTTTTTTGTTCTGTCACTGTCATTCTGTTACACTGTGGAGCTTCTGTCATGAAAACAAATTCCTCGTATGTGTAAACATACCTGGCAATAAAACTCATTCTGATTCTGATTCTGATACATACATACATAAAGAGAGGGCACTCGAATAATAAATACGTCCAATCGTAAAAATACAAAAGCAGGAAATAGATATTTAAAATTCAGCTAGCAATAACGCTTACTTGTTTGTCTTCGAGGTAATTGATCACGTTTATACCAGGAAAACAACAGTAAACATCAATCTCCAATGTACCGATTAGCCATTTTTAGCCTAACACTATCAACATCACGATCATTTGAACGTTTGAAACAAATCTGGACTTACATTAGCTCGTTTAGCTGCTTGCATCGCCATGGCTGGAACTTTTTAAAGAAAAAACTCAATATTTACAACAACAACAAAAAAACCTTTACCAGTAGTAACCAGTTGCAGCTAGCTCAAGCTAAAGTCGCTGCGCATCTAGTGCGCAATGTTTGATGGCGCAGTGCGATGACGTGTTTCCGGGAAGGCTGCGGCCAGGTTCCTTTGAGGTGACGTCAAGCGGCGATTCCTCAGGTTTCATTCTAAAAATATCAGACAGACAAAAGTTGCTGTTTTGCCACTAGCAAAACGGGACATACTATTTTTGTCCTTAAAAGCAATTATATATTTGTTTATTAACCAAAATCTCCTTTTGCTTGTTTAAGGATGTTATTTGGCTTCTATAACGTGAACAAAGCAAGAAATTAATACTTTATTATTAATCTTTTATTGCTCCTTGCCAAATCTCATATTAATCGTAGTAAATTCAGTCAGCAAAAGCACGTTTATTGCTAGCCTATATATCCAAGCAATTTTTTCCTCAAATAACTCAACATCTCTTAAGACGATACACCCGTGCTGCCCTTTTCATTTATTTTAGAATTCAACATATTTTGACGAAATATAATATATTTGTATTTTAAATTATTTTTAATGTACTATATTAAATATGTACATTTTCATTTGTTCTTTATTCATGTATAATATATTGGCTATATTAAAAAAATCTAAATAGCTGAGAGAAAATTATTACATTTTGGAGTGTACAATAATTTTGACTTTAGAGTGTACACCATTTACAGTACAATACTTATCGATTTTTCATTTTAATAAACGGAACAATGCATCCAACTGATCGGCAAATAAACAACAAAAAACACTCAAATCGGCGTGAATGTTTCAATATTTAGCCACTCATGTTATAGATGTATCTAGGGATGTAACGTTTAACCGCGAGCCGGTTGAAAATCGATTCAAATATGTGACGATTCAAATCGGTTGAGATGCTAAACAAATTAATTTAGGGGTAGGAGTTTATATGAATGCGTGTCTGAGGGGAACTTACTGTCTTTAGAAAAGTTTAGATAGTATTTTTTCTTTTCATCTTGCCTCTGTATAATGCATATTACAGTTCATAAGTGCAGCGCTGCTTTGTTTACAGCGGAAACCAGGAAAGGGTTTAAGCGCCACCTGCTGGCAGAGAGTGAATCTGCGTCTTATTCAGCTCATCTGCGGTTTCATGCAGATATTTTTATTTATAGTTTCACAAAACTGAAGTCAAACCATTCTGCTTTTGCTTCAAATTTCGAAACTATACAATCTAATTTAGTTTAAAATCTGCTCATGTTGCATGTATGCAGCATCTTTGTCTGGATCATGATTACAATGCAGTGGTTGCCTCTAATTTTAAAAGGAAAGAGCACAGACAAAGCCTTATTTTGTTTATATGAAGATATTTATTTTATTTGTGTTACTTATTTATTTGTCAATTATTTATTTGTCATTTAGCAGACGCTTTTGTCCAAAGAGATTTACAAATGAGGACAATAGAAGCAATTAACCAACAAAAGAGCAGTAATATGCAAGTGCTATATTAGTACATTATACATAATAATAATCGTGAATCGAATCGAATCGTGAGTTGAGTGAATCGTTACATCCCTAAT